TCCTCCTCCTTCTCCTCCTCCTCCTCCTCCTCCTCCTCCTCCTCCTCCTCCTCCTCCTCCTCCTAAGGAAGCGGCGGGACCAGAACTACTGGCTCAACGAGGACGCGCTCAAGGCCGCCCTCCGGTGAGCACGCGGCGAGGCCGCCCCGCGCGCGCTCCCCGGTGACCTGCGGGAGTGCCCGGGGCTCGGGCTCCCCGAAAACAGGGCTCGGCGGGGCAGGAGGGAAGGAGGGGGGGCCAGGAGGAGGAGGAGGGAGGAGGAGTAGGAGGAGGAGGAGGAGGAGGAGGAGGAGGAGGAGGAGGAGGAGGAGGAGGAGGAGGAGGAGGAGGAGGGGAGGAGGAGGCTAGGGGGTGCCAGGAGGATGAGGAGGAGGAGGCGGAGAAAGAGGAGGGAGGAGGGAGGAAGAAGGGGAAGGGAGGAGGGAGGAGTGAGGAGGAGGAAGGAGGGAGGAGCTGGGGGAGGAGGAGCAAGGAGAAGGCGGGGAAGGAGAGGCTCTCCGGAGGGCCTCCTGGGGTCTCTGGAAGCGGTCCCCGGCCGCGAAGGGCTCCGAAGGTCTCTGGAGGCAGCTTCCGAAGGCTCGGACGCTCCAAGGGGGGAAGGAGAAGGGCGAGGAGACGAAGGAGAGATATTCCGAAGGACGAGGATGAGGATGAGGAGGAAGAGGCCACGAGCTCCGATACCGATACCACTCACCATCATAATCATCGTCATCATCAGCGTCAGCATCGTCGCCGTAGTCTTCGTCATCACCACCATCGTCACTGTCATCATCGTCGTCGCCTTCGAAGACGTCGTTCTCCGCCGCCACTGTCAGCGGCGCCGTCATCAACCTGCGCGGCTTAATCTTGCGGGACCCGGTGCATCCCTCACACATATGTTCCCAAGCTTCCGCCGTTTCTGACCAGTACCTTACAGCATCGACCACGGGCCGTCCTGATGCGGACCTTCGCGGACGTCTGCCTCTGTGCGCTGCTTCTGCCTGGCGTCTTCCGCGAGGCGGGGGCGCTGCAGCGTGATGATGCAGGAGACCAGGGGCACCGTGAGGAGGAGGTGGAGGAGGAGGTGGAGAAGCAGGAGGAGGAGGAGGAGGAAGAGGCGGAGGCGGCGGAATGGACGAGCGGCAGGAGGGAGAGAGGGAGGCGGAGCAGAAGGAGGGTGAAGAGGGGGGTTCAAAATACTGAGAGGGAGAAGGGGACGGTGTTTCAAAATAGCAGCTGGGCGAGCAGGAGCAGCTCCATGGGAGGAGCAAGAGCAGGTGGAGGAGGAGGAGGAGGACCAATGTAAATCCAAGAGTCACCACCGACGTTGGAATAAACACTCCCTCCATGCTCCCTCTCCATAGGCCCCTACAAGGACTCATTTCCACTGAGGGAACTGCCTCGTTGGAAGACAACCGTTTGAAGACCCTGAAGAATGCCAAAACATTATTATCGGGACTCCAACGCCACGGATCAACCTGACTGTTGCGTATTGACGATCCTGAATCGTGCCGGAACGCCATTCTTGGAATTTCAACGCCGCGAATCAACGTAATTGCTTCGCCCTCATCCTGAATTTTTCCAAAACACAGTTTCTGGTTCGTCGACCATAGAGAAGGATGGCGCGCGGCTCTAAAACGAGAGCCGCATTTTGAAAAGGAACCGCCCTCAATCCGTGAAACTCTTGCAACTGTTTAAACGAATGTGCGCGGCGCTCAGGCGAGAGACACATTTTGAAAAGGAACCGCCCTCAATCCGTGAAGCTCTTGCAAATTCAAAACGACTGTACGCGGAGCTAGGGCGAGAGCCACATGGTGAAAACAATCTGCCCTCAATCCGAAAAGCTGTCGGATATGAAAAAACGAATGTTCGCGGAGCTAAGGCGTGAGCCACATTTCGAAAACCACCCGCCCTCAATCCGTGGAGCTTCTGGAATGTTTTAAACGAATGTGCGCGGCGCGGAGGCGAGAGCCACATTTTGAAAACGACCCGTCCTCCATATGTGAAGCTGTTGCCTTTAGTTGAGCTTCAGGGTCAGAAATGGTAAATGGTGAAGAAGTCTCAAGCGAAACGCCCGGCCCGCCCTAACAACTGGCCTCGGGATGCGACAGGGAGAAGCTATCTAGAAGGAAAGGGAATGGAGGAGGAGGAGAAGGAAGTGGAGGGGGAAGGGGGAGGAGAAGGAGGAGGAGGAGGAGGAGGAGGGCGAGGCCTTCGTGCCCTTGCTCTGGCAGCTCCCCCTTCCCCCCTGCGTAATCCGTCTGTTCGTCTCCACTTGCCTTCTTCTCACTGATACTATTAAAAGTATTATTGTTCGTCTCCCTCTTCTTCTCAGCCGGGCCGTGGGGGCGATGCGCTCGCGGCGTCAGCCTTCCTTTCTTCCTTCTCCGCCTCCTCCTCCTCCTCCTCCTCCTCCTCCTCCTCCTCCTCCCCACCCCTTCCGTTGCCATTTTGGCTCAGGGTCTTGAGGGGCAGCTTCCCTCACAGTTCTTGAGCGGGCAGCCGACGCGCGTCGGCCATCCTGCGTGTCGAGCGCAGGCAGACACACACACACACGCACACACACACACACGCACACACCTTAGCCTCCTTACTGCACGGGGTTTCTGTCCCCAGGCGCCGCCGCCACGGCAGAGGGAATCTTGGAGAAGCTGAACGACCTCCTGGAGGCCAAGAAGGTGATCTTGCTGGAGGCAATGACCGTGCAGATCAACCAGCACCCAGGAGGCCATGGAGAAGGAGCTCGAGGCCCAGGCCCTCCGCCTCGACAGCAAAGAACAGACCCTGAGGTTGCAGTGCAAGAATATCTCGATTTCGGAGGCTCGTCCTGCTGGAAGTGCGGCATCGACCTGGTCGGCTCCATCTCGTGTCTTGGGTTCGATTCCTAGCAGTCAACACCGTATCCAGTCAAAACACGGTCGCTTCCAGCAGCTATTATCGCCATGTGGCGTTGCCTTTATCCAGAACAGCCATGGCCATGCGATCTAGAACTCTCCAGGGATCATCACATAACGAATATTATTCCTGGCTCGTTTTGTCAAAATCCGAACGCAGGGGTCTTGCAACATGTATCTCAATGAAGAGCTCGCCAGTCAGTTTCACCATATTGCATGCCGGGATGCCCTTCACGTACGCGCTCTAGCAGCTACGCTGTTCCCGGCGCGCGGCAGCCTGCAGGCGATCCGCCTGCACATCGACCCCGAGCTGCCTGGTACCATCGTTAAGGAGCAGTTTGCCAGGATTTGTCGCGCTTGTGGCCCTAGGTGGAATACCAGCAGCTTCGCAGTTGGTGGCTTCGACTACCTCGAAGTGGGAGGGTCTAGCTATTCTGTATCTCGTAGGCTTGAGCGAGCACCTGCACACCTCTCTACCTATTACCTTCACTCGTCTCTTCTCCCTCTACATTGAGATCGCGCAGCCACACCTTACTCATCGCGCTCCTCCGGATAATAACTTATCGCATGCACGATCAGATCGCGTATATACTGACATGCCCTCGGTCGACCTGCTCAATTACATTCCTACTATTGGAACGGTCTGTGTTTTAACTGACAAGTCTATTCTTAGTGACCGCACTCCGGTTTTCTTCGCCATGAATACAATTCTGAAGGGCCAGTGCACGTTGAACGTTGCCGTCTGGGTCTGTGAGCATCCCAGGTACCCCGAGCTGGTGAGTGACTGTCTTGCGGGCATTCAACATGATCTTCACATTCCTCCACGTCTGTTGGTACTCACACACATCACGCATGTTGCTGCTGCCTCAGTCCGCCATCTTGTCATGTAAGCTCGCGCTACCACTTTGCCTGAGAAGATTGCATGTGCTTTGGAGCTTATTCGCTGTCGTCGTACGAAGCCGGAGGCTGGTGCCTGCAAGTTTGTCCGAGCCTATCTTAAGCTTGGCCATGTCATCGATCTAGGGCTCTTGGAGTGGACCAATCGGGAGGATATTCGCAACCACGTTCAGAAGCTGATGAGGGAAAGCTTGAAGGAGGAGGGGGCGGAGGTAGAGAGCCCGGGATTTTTCCCGAACAAGGATTTCCTTGTCCAGTGCATCAAACGATTGTCTCTTGCTCGGGCTAGTTCGGTCAAGCGAGCCTTTCTCACGGCAGTCCTGGATCCGCTGGGCCAGTCGAACGTTGAACCAGATGGCGCTGCTCGTCTCTTGGCGGGGTACACGGGGAGCAGAGTTTCAAGTTGTCTCAGTAGATATGCCTCATGCCCCTACTCTTCCTAAACAGGTTCAACATGTCGATGTTGATGATCGTGTGTGTGATGGCCCAGCACATACCAGATATCCTTGGCTTACTACGTCCGATGCGTTCTATTACAGTGCGCGTTACAAGCGGGACTCCTGCCCAGGACCTGACGGCCTTCCCTCTTTTGCTTGGCGACAGGGAGGTGAGGAGGTTATCCGCCCGCTGCATGAAGTGCGCGTTGACCTCATGAGCGAGGGCGACCTTGACTCAGCCCTGAACTTTTCCAGGCTTGCCGCGCTACCCAAAGGGGAAACGGATGAATACGGCTCGGCCGAGAACGACCCCTCCCACACTCGCCCTCTCGCCCTTTCCAACACAGATAACAAGCTGATCTCCACGATGATAGCTGAGCCTATCAGCCACATGTTTGATGCCGCCGTTGACCCCTATCCAGCGCGGCTTTCTCCGTGCGGGGCGCCCCGCTGACAACGCCGTCGACGTCGAATCGAAACTGCTGCTTTTTTCTGGAAGGAGCTCCCGGGGCACGAGCTTCTTGGGCTTGGCATCGCTCGGACGTGTGCATTTTTCCTTCGGCGAGGACCCTCTAGGAACATCCTTGATCATTTGGCGAAAAAAACCACGCACGACACCGCAAAAAAACACACAGGGAATGGACGTCCGAGCGATGGCCAGTGGGGCAACGCTTTCCTGCTTTTTTCCCAGAACCCGTCAGCCTTGAGAGTCTGCCCCTGCCCTCCTGCGTTGGGCTCTCTCGTTTTGACTGGAGCGCTGTGGTCTTCACTCCTCCTCCTCCTCCTCCTCCTCCTCCTCCTCCTACTCCTCCTCCTCCTCCTCCTCCTTTTCCTCCTCCTCCTCCTCCTCATCCTCCTCCTCCTCCTCCCCATTCCCCCTCCCGCCTCCTACTTCGTGCCTGCTGGCGCCTCCTCCTTCTCTGTGCGCAGCTGCCGCCACTTGCGTGGGCTCCTGGGAGGTCGCGCGGAGTGGAGTTGCGCGGGGATCCGGTTGGGACCTCGCGGCTTCCCTGGGGGGCTACGAAGTCTGAGACTGTCGCCACTTTCGTTGGCTCTTGCGAGGTCCCGCGGGGTGGAGTTGCACGGAGATCCAGTTGAGACCTCGCTGCTCCCTGGGGGGCTGCGAAGTGTGAACATGTCGCCACTTTATTTGGCTCCTGGGAGGTCAAGCGGAGTGGAGTTGCACGGGGATCCAGTTGAGACCTCGCGGCTCCCTGGGGGGCTGCGAAGTGTGAACATGTCGCCACTTTATTTGGCTCCTGGGAGGTCATGCGGAGTGGAGTTGCACGGGGATCCAGTTGAGACCTCGCGGCTCCCTGGCGGGCTGCGAAGTGTGAAAGTGTCGCCACTCTATTTGGCTCCTGGGAGGTCCAGCGGAGTGGAGTTACACGGGGATCCAGTTGGGACCTCGCGGCTCCCTGGGAGGCTGCGCTATGTGAAATTGTTGCCGCTTTCGTTGGCTCCTGGGAGGTCCCGCGGCGTGGAGTTGTGGGTGGATCCCGTCGAGACCTCGCAGCTCCTTGCGGGGCTGCGATGTGCAAAACTGTCGTCACTTTCGCGGGCTCCTGGGAGGTCCCGTGACGTGGAGTTGCACGGGAATCCAGACTTGAGACTTCGCGGCTCCTTGGGGGCTGCGAAGTGCGCAATTGTCGCCGTTTTCTTGGGCTCATGGGAGGTCGCGCATATAGTGGAGTTGCGCACGGGAATTCAGTTGGGACCTCGCAGATCTTTAGGGGGGCTGCGAAGTCTGAGACTGCTGGAGCTTTCGCGGGTTCCTGGGAGATCCGGCGGAGTGGAGTTGCACGGGGATCCAGTTGG